AGCCCCCACAAAACAGATTTGTAACAGATCACTCCTTAACTCCCCCTGCAAAGAAACCTCTGTACACAGTCATGTGGTTTAATGGTTTGCAAAGCAACCTGTAAACTCCAGTTCTGCTACTCATGCCTGGGGAGCAGGTCACTGCCTGCTCACTTTCTTCATCTGTAAAATGGGCATACTGGTACTCATCCTTAAAGCACAGGTGTAGAAGAAATGAGACGATGTTTATAAAGAATCTAATAAATGTGGGGGCCTGGGTAAGTGGTAGTGGTGACTATCATTACTGCTAATGTCTTCATATCTGTTGTGTCATGCAAATAAACAGAACCAAAGAAAGTGTTATGATTACAGAACAGTGCTCACATCTGAAGCCCATCTCCAAACATGCATAAAATGTGAACATCTTAGAAGTCGGCTTAGTCCCAATAGCAAAAAGCACTGGCCAGTGTAATTACTTTAATCCCATACGTGACTGATTCCATGTAACAGTTCACTTTCAAGCGACTTTTCTGCATTCGTATTTTTTTCACATCAAGAGTTCTGCTTTGCCATTTCTTAATTTTCTATTTTGAGCTAATTTTAAGTTACAGAAAACTTACAAAAACAGTATAGAGTTCTCATGTATCCTTCACCAGCTTCTCCTGATGTTAACATTCCACGTAACTATGGTGCTATGATCAAAGCTGGACTTAACTAGACACCTCCCTTACTGGAGTGTCCCCGGCTTTTCCACCAATGTCCCTTTCTTCTGTTCCAGACCCAGCCCAGGATCCTCTGCTGGGGATCCTTGTGTTGCTGTGTCCTAGTTTTGTGCAGCCTCTGACATTACCTCCGCCTCTCCTCATCTCCCATGAAAGTAACACTTCGGGAGGGGCTGGTGAGTTATTTTATGGACGGTCCCTCAGTTTGTCTGATGCTTTCATGCTCTGACTGATGTGGAGCTTTCCAGGCAGGAATCCTGCAGAGTGACCCCGCCTCCCCTCCCTGCGTCCTGTCAGGGGGTGTGATGGCAACAGGCCTTGTTCCTGGGCTGTCCATCAGGATCACTTGCATAAGAAGTTTCTGCCAGGTTCACTCTTCCTTTGCAGTGAATAAATATCTTGGGGGAGATGCATTGTGACTGTGCAAATTCTGTTTCTCCTCAAATTTTTCCCACTCATCTTAGCATCCACCAATGGATATTTCTTGCAACAATTACAGTTGACCTTGAACAACACAGGTTTGAAATGCATGGGTCCACTTACATGTAGTTTGTTTTGTTTTGTTGGAAAAATACAGTACAGTACTATAAATGTATTTTCTCTTCCTTAGGTTTTCTTAATAACATTTTCTTTTCTCTAGCTTACTTGTGTAAGAATATTTAATACATATAACATGCAAAGTATATGTTAATCAACTGATAATGTTATCAGTAAGGCTTGACGTCAACAGTTTTGGGGGTGTCAAAGTTATGCATGGATTTTCAACTGTGCAGGGGGTCAGAGCCCTTAACCCCTGTGCTGTTCAAGGGTCAACAGTATGACTGTGGTGTGCACCCAGTGATGATTTGTCTTATTTTTTTGGCTGTAGCTATGTTCTCATCTGCCCCATAGGCCATCATTCCTCCAGTTCGGTAATTCCTATGTTCTTCTTTTTCTGCGGACATTAGCTCAGTCCTGAAAGCATTCACGGTGTAGCTTCTCCCCATCCAAATCCTCTCTCCCATTATATTTTCAGTGGAGTCCAGCAATCAAACAAAACCCAAAGCACCGTCTTTTTATCAACTGGCGAACTGGACTAACCTTGTACGGCGAAAATTAAGGTTGAAATTGTACAGATGCCTGGTTAATGAAATACAAAATTAGAATTCATTTCCAGGCCCCCGTCCCCCAAACCTGAATAATTAGATTTTTGCGGCTTATGGAGATTAGTCCAAGAAACCAGATCACGGGTGGGGTTTATGCTTCCTTTTAAGCACAGACACAACCACCATGTAGAAAACTCTATTTAAGCCTTTCTGATTCCAAAAACATTTAGATTCACGTGGGAGGAAGGCTGTTTAAAGCTGTACTGGCCCAAAGCATCCCCGAGGAGGCCACCGTGTCTCCCACTGCCCTGCTGCGGCCCAGAGACGTGGCTAGTGCCTGGCGCCATCTAGCGGAGCCCCGGCCCCTAAGCCGTCTCCACGGCTGTGTGCTCGAGCCTCTGTGCCCGCCTGGCCGTAAATAAAAGCCCCAAGACAGCCTAGGTCAGCGCCTGTCCCCCATGGTGCCACCTCCCTACATGCCACATCAACAGTTTACAAGGCATTAAGAAATCGGAGAGGAAAGGAGGAGGAAGGGTGGGGTGAGCCGCAGGGCAGAGGCATTGTCAGGAATGAGTGGAATTTAGCAGGACAGGATGGATGGGTGGGGTTTGTGTGAACAGCGCGAAGATGGGAGCCCACAGCAGAGAAAGCCCCACCGAGGGGAGGCTGAGGGTCTGGACCAAAGGATTCTATGGTGACAGCATCAAAAAGCTAGAGTGAGCCAGACTCTGGCATGCTGGAAGGACTAGGGCACTTGGCCTTTATCGTTAAGTGTAAGGTTTTGAGAAAATGAACGAGCCCAGGAAGTCAGAGTTCCAGGATGACCGACCTCAGTATTCAGGGTCTGTCCTGGGGCAGGGGAGGCCGAGAGAGAGAGACCTGTGGATATTCCCAGGTGTGGTCATGCTGCCCAGAGCCTGAAGCTTCGAGCCTAGGGGGCCCCGAAGCCACAAACACCCACATAGGAGAACAAGACTGAAGAACACGGCTTGCCCATGTGTAGATTAGTTCTTCAAAGGGATGTTAGTGCTACTGTAAATGAAAGTGTCATTGAAAAGTATTCTTGAATTTACCGTAGTTCATTGTCTTAATATATTTCTTTCCTCACTCAGGGAATAACGAAAGTATATCTCACATCCCGGGGGGACACCCTGTTATCGTCTGCATATCTACACACTAATTTACGGTGAGAAACACTTGCTCAGACAGACTGAGGGCTGGCTAGTCCTGGAGCAGAGATGGGGAGGTTGGGACGCTTCCATGGGAGAGGCCCCAGACTTGGTGCCCAATCGATCGGAGCAGATGAACAGGATGAAGGCCCCAGGAGACAGAATCTTAGCTCTGGAAGGGTGGCAGAGGCTTCTCCCAGCCTGCCAACCCTGCGAGGGATGCCTCTGACAGGCCCCCTGGCCTTTGCAGGGAGGCATGAGGCTTTCCAAAACAGACTTGCAATAGATATTTCCAGACTCCACTGTTGGGCGGAGCTCTGGTTCTTAGAAAGTGGTCTGTGCTGAGCCAATCACTGCAGTTACTCCCCCACCCCACAGCAGTGTCCCTGCAAGCTAAAACCTGTCCTCAGTCCTCACAAAAAGACCCAGAGAATGGGGGTAAAGCCTCACATGGGAGGCTACAATTATCCCTGTTAAATTTCACCTCATTATTTTCAGCCCTTTAGGATAAACGTGGGTCATGCATTTATCTCTGTCACAGGTAAAAATAGGACAGCAGACAGAGGGCTGGGAGTGTTCCCAGGTTGCTGCCCTCCAGGAATTAATGAGAAGCAACTCCACACAGCCCGAGTCTGTCCCTCTTGTGCTTGGGGCCTTCGGGATCAATAGGAAGCAAGTGTCCAGCTCCTGGCCCTGAAAGAGTTCTGGTGCTCTTTGCTCTCCTATTGGCTCAAAACAGAAAGAAAGAAAGCAAAACGGAGACACAGTGCTGGGACTCTTCTGCTCGGGACAAAAGAAGACAGACTTGCCCAGGCTCTAGGTGACAGCACATAAAACCCACCAGGAGTGACAACTGGTGTCCCAGAGCCCTCGCTGTGCCCTTCAAGACTGGCGTCCATAGACACCCAACCAGGATAAATGATTGCCATTTCTCCTATGAAGAAGGTTCTGGATACTAGGTGCCAGTTAAGGAGGGATGCCCAAACACCCCTGCTCTTCTTCCTAAGAATACACAGGAAGCTATGCTGGATAGACATCAAAAGTAGCAGACCCCAACAAACCTAGGCCTGCCAGCCATCCTGCACACACACAGCCATGTCCTAATGCAATTTCCATTCAGGTCCCCGAACTTGCCCACCCTCTCCACCCATCCCCCACACACAATTAGGAATCTCATCCCTGCTGTGACACATAGCTCAGTAAGGACACTTTTCTACCAAAGACATCCGCCACCGCCATCCCAATTTGTCCTCTGTCTCCCCATCACTGTGAACCCCCAATGCCTTCTTAGGAGACAGCTCTGGGCTCAGATGCACTCTCATCTCCTGACTGTTCTTCATCAACTTCTGGGGTCTTCCTCCTGCGTTGCTCCTTCTGCTCTCCTCCCTCCTCCATTTGGAAACAGAATGCTGGACGCAGAATCCCTCTTCCTCTCCTTCCTTCAGATCAACATCTTCTGCAGGATCTCCCCTTGCGCCAAGCTCTATCTCCTCTTACAGCTGCCCTTCCTCCCTTTCCACTGGCCACACTCCTGCATGACCCCACTCACATGCCACCTCTTTGGCCCAACCAAGCTGACTGTCCATTGCCTGGGGGAGCCCCGTGTCTGAGACCCTGGGACGGAGCTCTCTTCTCCACAAATGCACAGTAGCCTTCACCAAAACAGTAATGCAAAAATAAAAGTCTAGTGCTCTAACAACACGTGCAACCCAGATCCAGAAAGCTACCAAACAGGGAGAAGTCCCAGCATTCTGCGCCCCCCTTCCATTCACCCCATAGCTGAGCCGGCCAGCAGCTCCTCTCAGCTGACATTCGCTCTTACTGCTGCTGACATTCGCCTCTTTGGTGCTCGAAGGCGTGGTCGAGTGTCAACGCTATTGACAGCTAAACTGTGTGCTCCCCTTTCTGTCCTGGGTGCCCTAAAACCAAATTCACTGCCACATTATGTGAACGATCTTATTTCAGCAGGCTAGACTCCTGATTGCAGTCGTTCACTTCCCAATGCCTCATTAATGTGTTCATCAGCACACTGTTTCTTAAGAAACTTCCAATTGATATACCGAGTTACTCCCCTTGGATATCGGAGAAGTGTAAACTGTAGGTCGGTGGGTGGAAAACACTGTTTCATGAAAATCAGGTAACAGCCTCCACCCACTCTTATCATTCTTTTGGATCCTCTTTCTGGATCCCAAGGGTAGAAGGTGTGCCCAGCGAACTGGGAGGGCTTCCGGAAAACCACGGCCATCCACGGCAGGACCTGGCCTCCCCACGCCTTCCCTGTAGCTCTTACCTGATATTTTCACCGGACTCTGAAAGCTGGGTTGAATTTTATGTACATTGTCATTTTTTAACACCTGATCCAAAGGAGATCTTTCAAAGAAGGTGAGCACAACTTCTGACCTGGAATACTGAGAATAAGTGCGTTAATGACTAAACTTGAATCCTCCCTGGAGGTGACCTCGTGTGAGGCGAACGCCCCTGCGCTGTTCAGATGCTCGGCAGGACAGTGTGGCTCGGGGGGCCACACGGATGAGGCTGCAGTCATGGCCCACCTTTCACTTACTAATGTTCCCACGTGGCAAAAATGCAAGGCCCCAGGGACGGACAGGATGGGGTGAATGGAAGCAATGGTGAGATTTTCTGAGCGCTTGGTATATGCCAGGGTTTTGCACACTTGTTCCTTCACCATTTGATAAACTGTCAGTGTACTGACTTTCCCCATTTGCAGAGGAGGAAATGGACCCCACGGGAGTGAAGTGGGCCCCAAGTCCACCCAGGGTCTTAACCACCACTCCACACAAAGCTTGCCAACTTCATTTAAAGGCCATCTGCCAATGTGGATGCTAACACTCTCCTTGGCTCCCGTACACCCTCTTCCAAAACACCCTCTGCAAGACCGGTGGGCTTCTGAGCGGAGGCAAGAAGGCAAAGACCATGGCAGTGGACGGACCATGTCTCTTCCTACTCAGCACCTCCTTGGCCCCCTACTTCCACTTCTTACCAAAGAGAAAACAATGGAGCCGAAAGAGCCCACAAAAGTCTTCCTTTCCCCTGGTTGTATCTGCCCCTCCCTGTGGCCTGATATGTCCAGGGAGGGAGCAAGCAAGTAAGTGAGCAAGTGCATTGGTTATCTGGAAGCTGGCAGGATGTATTCCGAGCTCCCACCCCCAGCCCTGAGCAGATCGTACTTACTTTGCATGGCATGTTTATGATGGTCTTTAGCAACTTCTCCACCTCATTAAGCCTGGTCTCTATGTCGTGGGCATCCTTTATGGCCACCAGTCCTAGAATTGAGACAGAAAGCCTAAAGTCAACAAAACAAAACCCAGACCAGGAAATGTGCTCCTAAACTAAATATAGAACAACAGATATCCCCATGACAAGGAGGCCATGGCCCAGTGTTCCCCCTCCACCTAAGATGTCTGGGAGTATTTATTCAGCCCTACTCTGAAAGCCCTGCTCTCAACCTCATTTATTTTTTTATTTTTTAAAGATTTTATTTATTTATTTGACAGAGAGAGACACAGCGAGAGAGGGAACACAAGCAGGGGGAGTAGGAGAGGGAGAAGCAGACTTCCCGCCGAGCAGGGAGCCCGATGCGGGGCTCGATCCCAGGACCCTGGGATCATGACCTGAGCCGAAGGCAGACGCTTAACGACTGAGCCACCCAGGTGCCCCTCTCAACCTCATTTTAAGTTTCAGTGACCCAGTGAATGATTTACATGTGTGCTAGGGTGGATGATGCCCCCCCCCACACAAAAGGAGAAGTCTGGCAGGCTGGGGACAGTGGAATGAGTGGGGAAGGCAGGTGTAAGCCAGGGATCAAAGTCCCCTCTGAATGGGACAGTCTGGGCCAGCCCCGTGAACAGCCTGGACAAGCCAGGGGAGGTGGCCCACACCTGCCCAGCCCCAACCACACAGTGGAAGGGCTTGCTCAGCTGGCCACAGCTCACCTCACCACAGAGCATATGTAAATGGAGCCCATATTTAGACGAGTCATTTAAATGCTTGGGTTTGGAAGGGGGAAAGTCAGATCTTCACCCAGAAAAAGAACCAAAGTGGGTATGACTCACAGCATTTCAGGAATCTGAACATCTACCCTCGTTACACATAACAGGGGCCCCGAGTGGCTGTTGGGAAGGAGAGACTTTTGTTTGCAAACTACGACAGCTGGTGGCCTGGAGCCCTGGGTGTGCTTCCGTCTCCCGTGAGCAGGAAAGAACCCGGGTCTCCTTGTTTCGGTTTCTACACATCAGCGTCCTAGGGATGCAGGAATGACATTCCCCAGACACTGGCCTCTTGTCCATACTTCATGCCACCCAGCATGACGGTCCCCACGAGCCACGACCAAACCAGGCGCTGGGGTCATCCCAGAACTATGATCAGTTGCTGAGTCTAAGGTTCTCAGTTCTGGCTTGGTTTGGTTTTGCAGGAGAAAGGCTTGGTTTTCAGGCAATTCATCGACCGAGCCTACAAAAGTCATCGAGTTAATTTCCTAAACTACATGACTGAACACAGTCCCTGGAACCAGGGGCAGCCCCAAACACGGGGCGAGGACATGTCTGAATGCCCGCGCTGTCGCAGGGGGGATCCTTCAAGCAGCCTGAGTCCCGGCCAAGGCCAGGAATGGTTCTCCCAACTTCCTAAAAGCACAGGCCGCCTCGGGTGTCAGAGGGGCTTGTCTGGGCCTGTCCGCGGGCCCAGGTGGCCAGCCAGCAGCCGGTCAGGGGGCAGGAGCCCAAGGCGGCTGGCTGGGCCGTGGCTCACCTGCTGAGCAACCTGGGGCCTCTGTCCACATGGCCCAGGCACACACCCCAGCATGACACCCCAGCAGTCACCAGAGAAAGGGACCAGGCCTTCTCTACCTTCTCCCCTCTTCCTTGGGTTACCAGGCCCCACCACACCCCCCTGCACATTCTGGAGAGCAGAGAAAAGAAAGGAAGGAGTGCCAGATGCTCAGGATGCTTCTTCCCCAGGCCCTGAATTCCTTGCTTGGAAATACACACACACACACACACACACACGCACGCGCGCGCACGCGTGCGTGCATGCTTTGCACAAAAATGCTTTCATCTTCTGCTTGCTACAAGGGAGTCTACACAGGGAAGATGCCCAATGCAAAACCCTCTGGAAAATTGTTTTTAAAGAGAGGACAATTAAATAAATCATCCCCACCGAACGCTTCTTTATTCTAGGATGAACAAAACTATTATTCAAGTTCAAGTTTTAAATGAATCAAGTTGATGACACGGTGGTTGTATTTTTATATTCTGTAGGTACATCTGGAGGAAGATTAGCCTCTTAGATGATCAATGCATGCAGCGTATGTATACCCATTTTATAGGATATAAATCATAATTGAACAATCTTAAGTTAGTAGATTTATAATTCTTGCATTTTTGCCTTAGTGACATATTTTTGGGTACATCTTTGATTTAACTAATGTTCAGCCCACAGTTGGGTTTATAACCTCAATATATATAGTCAGATAAATACATTCTGCTCTATATTGATCTTTTTTTTTTTTTAGGACTGCTTGATTTAGCAAATAAAACAGGACACCAAGTTAAATATGAATTTCAGATAAGCAGTGAATAATGCAATAGTATGGATAGACTTATACTAAAAAATTATTCACCGTTTATCTGAAATGCAAACTTAACTTGGTGTTCTGTATTTTATCTGGCAGTCCTATCTTCCTGGTAGGGTATTCTATTTTCCAGAACGAAGTATAAAAAGGCTAGAAGTACCCTCCCTGATCGACCCCAGCCCACCTTATAACCAGCTCTGTGCCCTGAGACTCCCCATACCCTTCTGCCAGCCTCAAAGGTCCACACTACCCAAACACAACCCCCTGCCCTCCCCACCCCTCCAGGCTCACAGGTGGGAACATCGCACCCATCCCTTAAGGGGTGGGCGCATGCCGTCTGTTCTGTGAAGCCTTCTGCACATCCAAAGAGGGAACTCGAGCTGCCTCTGGTCTCCCAGAGAACTTCCCTGACCTCTGCAGTATTCACTGCTCAGCATTGTGACTGTTCCTGGGCCCGCGGGTCTCCCCAAGCCCACCATGTGCAAACCTGAGGGGAGCAGGTGTCTCTGTTCCTCTCACTGTTATTGTCAGCCAGCACAGGGCCTGACTCATGCAGGGGTTTCGATGTTTACTGGCTGTTTGTTGATTGATTAAAGTTGCAGAAGAGGGCACAGAAGTCAAGCATTAGTGATTTCCGTGGGTGTGCTCCATCTTGCCCCATAGGATAGTAACCCTAACTCATGCTTCTCAGCACCATGCTCAGCCAGCCCCCCGCCAGAACCTGCTGCCAACCAGCTCAAGGTCACAGGCCTGACAGCCAAGTGGCATCGTGTGTCAGTCATCAGCCATGCCGGCTTGATTTTATTTGTGGAAGTGTGCAGAACCATACCACTTCCTTTGACCTGTCTTTATGTTCCTGAACGCCAGCCAGACAGTACTCCTTGGAAATGTAAACCTGCCCCCAAACAAAAGGAGGCTCTGGAAATTTAACCAGGCAAAGGAAGATGCCAGAATCCCTCGCTGCAAAAACAGAAATGACAGGTGACTGCCTTTTAGCTGGGTCATACTTTATCATTTGCTTCTCCATCCTGGCTTCCCGGGTGACAATCAAGCTGACAATGTGGATCAGCTTCCTTACGATGCTGTCCTCCTTTCTCTAAGGAAAGGCATCCACCAGGAGACAACCAGCACTGGCCTCTTCCCCAGCAGGGGCCTCAGCTAATCAAAGGCGGAGGGATTCAGGAAATGATGGATCCAGCTGAACGCTGTGAAACCCGCCTAACAGCAGCAGATACCTCAGCCACCACCACCAACCAGAGCTCAGAGCGCAGCTAGCCCCCCAACACCCCACACACGGGCATGAAAGAATCACTACCCTCCAAGTGGCTCCCCGCAGCCTAGCCTTTCCCTTCACTCTGGGGTCCCGGACATCACCCTTCTCAATGGTTTTAAAAGTGCCTCCCATCAAAAGATGGCTACCTTACATGTGTTAGGAAAATATTTTTAAGAAAGACAAACCCACAACGGCCACAGTGCAAATATGAACTAAATCTTCATTTTAAAATTTCATACGCACAGGCGTTCCTTCCTTCAGACTTCTCGGTTTCATAATGGGTGGAAAATTTAGACACCTACGGCGAGACCCGAAATGATTATAAATTCTCAAAACGTGACAGCGCTGAAAGGTGAAGTTGCGAACAGAACATGCACGTGGGACATTGTATTACTTTTCAGGGGCAGGTGGCAAGAACCGAGCTCATGAAGGACTGCTACCCCAAACAGATTATATGAGCTCACGAAGGACTGCTACCCCAAACAGATTATACGTACTGGGGTTTCCTTCTACCCTACCTCCTGTCTTTTTCCTTTGTGACCCAACAGCTTTGGTTTTTAATGGCTGGTAAAGCTTCTCCAAATAGGAACTGTTTACAGTAAATAATACTTTTAAAACCTATTTTCAAAAATAGGCTTAAATACAATAATCTAAATACTTTTGGCTTTTATGTTCCAAATATTGCGGATGGAATGAGAATTGTGTGGGGATCTTGTCTGACTCCGTTTTCCTATCTGTGATGGTAATAACAAAAACTGTAGGCTGGCAAATGGTTGTGATGCTGCACAGTTGAACAGAAAAGCTAGCGCATCTATTGGTTATGAGACTGTCATTCCAGAAGTAGCCAGCAGGGGGTGCTAGCACTCTGTGGAACCAACTGGGTTTAGCGTAGAGGTAGACTCAGAAGACTTCACAGCCCCTGGAAATGTTTCTAATTTCTGATAAAGCATAATCACTAATATAACCTCCATTTGTAAAATTTCACTCTACCCAGTTTGTGATGTGGAAATTTTAACCAGATTAGCCTCAAACAAGTAAAGATTTGAATCCGAAAGACGGATAACACATGATTACATATCAATTACGGTGTGCTGATTTAAATATATTTGGGGGCCAAAAATCAGCCTAGAGCAGCCAGGGTGCCCGCCCTTTCTTTCTAAACTACTTTAGCATTGAAAATTGAGAAACTAAAATGTGATTCTGTCATTTTCAGAATTAGCTTTTTTTTTTTTTCTTTTTAAAGATTATTTATTTATTTGACAGAGAGAGGGAGCTCAAGCAGGGGGAGCCGCAGAGGGAGAGGGAGAAGCAGACTCCCTGCTGAGCAGGGAGCCAGACATGGGGCTCAATCCCAGGACCCTGGGATCATGACCTGAGCTGAAGGCAGATGCTTAACTTACTGAGCCACCCAGGTGCCCCCA